CCTAAACTCATCAATCTCCTCATGAATAGCAGAAGAGTTATCGATTTCCTTAAGCTCCTTGTCTAGGACATATTCCTTTTCCTCATAGCGGGTGACCATCCTGATGTTCCTAATCCAGTCATTGAAGTTGGACTCATCAAAGATGACTCTCCCACACAAGTTCATGAGAGAGAAGGACCCAGTAGGGTTTAAGTCAAAAGCAGTGTTGGAAGACATCTGAGAAAGAAAGACAAATTTTAGATTAGATAAAGAGTCCTTAATATATCACCCAAAATGAAATATTAAGGCTAGGACCCAAGAAAATATTTTACAAATTGGAAGATGGATGTCGTAATCCAACTTGCGAAATATTTGAAGGTAGGTGAATGACGATTTACCAAATTCCATCATGAAAAAAGAAATTGATTATTAAGTTTTAATTAGATTAAAACTCCTAGATCCTTTGAGATTCATTCAACAATTCAGTGGCATATTTAAGTCTTGATTATGCCCTTCAGGTTTGTGTCTGGGATACTGAGGATCACAAACAATGTGTGAATAACCATGCAAAATTCTTTTGGTACTCCCGATGTCACTTATCACCCAATCAATGTGTCGGTTAACCACACACGCTCCATTGATCTTATGATCAACATCGAGCCACCCTTTGTTACCCTTACTAGTCCAAGTTAATGTGGCAGTTAACCACACATGCTCAATTAATGACTTGGCAAGGTGCAAAGTCCAATTTTCATGAATTAGCATCAATTTCACATTTTCCTAAAGTAACTAAGATTGGGAATTTTATAAAAAGGTTTAGTTACTTTATAATTATCATTATACCTAATGAGAATTAATGTCTTATCCTACCCGTTCGTCTAACGACCCTCCACCAGTCAAGGAAGCGGTGGGTGAGAGTGAACACCCATTAAACAACCATTTTATAGTCAGTAACCTTATACCCCCATATAGATCGTCTTCGTGAATGAGGTCTAGTAACGGTAAGATTGAATTAATCTTATACATACATATATATATATATATATATATATATATATATATATATATATATATATATATATATATATATATATTAAACTTATAATACTATAAAGTATAAGGTTTGAATTTTAAACTTTTAAAATTCTAGGGTTTGAAATTAAAGTATTCAAAAGTATGACTTTACAAATTCCAAAACTTTAAGACAAGTTTTGACACTATTCAAAACTTTTCATTTTCTTAACTTATGAGTTTAATGAGTTTTATGAAGAAAAAAAACTTTTGGTTTTCCATAACTTGAGGACAAGATATGGAATCCATTAAAAGACATTTAGATCAACAACTAACTAACAAGAAATGTCAAATAATATCTATGATCTAGACAAACTCATAAGCAAAGATAATTCACATCAATATTTTTCAAGAAATTAGCTAATCATATAAATTAATACAAATCTTGAAACTTTGACAGATATCTTCTAATTGGACAAATGAATTTAATATGAACAAATCTTCAACATTTTTCCATCCATGTTTTGGTAACCATGAAGCAGTATTGGTGTCAAGTGAATTTAATACGAACAATCTTCAACATAGGATTTGTGTTGTCACAATAAGAGTGTTTTTTTAATTAAAACAATATGTATTAAGACTTGCATGTTCATCTATCCACTGAAGAAAGTTATAACGTTTGGGGTTTCATATTATAGAAACTCATGTGAAGCCTTGGCACCAAAGCGAGTAACCAATCTATGAAGCCTCATAAAAGACCAAACTATTAGATACTTATGAATTCGAGACGAATCATTTCTTTCATTTCATTATTTTAGAGAAATTGAGTTGATTCATTGTACTCATAATGTTATATTACTATTTCCAAGTGTGGTATGTAACCAATATGTTTATAATTAAATTCACATGGCATGCTCTTCAAATATTATATCAAGAAGGCGTTTGCTACTAAGATCAAAATATAATTATTTTCATTAATCTGTTGCCAAGGATTTTTTTTTTAAATTTTCTTTCTTATTTAAATTTCAATCTTGTACCATTTTCCATAGAAGTTATTACAACGAGTATATGACTGACTCGGAGAGGAAAGTTCGGACTCTAAGTGATAATGCTTCAGGTACATGTCATAACTTTGAGTAAATATTTATGTTAACTATAAGACTAACAGGAGTGGTGACACTCTTGGCACCTTGCCACATAAGTATTTTTAATGCCACATCATTTTTCTTTGTTTAACACTTACACTTAACATTTTGTAAGAAGTGGTAACACTCATAGCACTGAATTTTTTGTATTTTCTTTTTTCTAATTTAATTTAATTACTATATTTTAATAAATATATTTTTCTATTTATTTTATGTAATTTAATTTAATTACTTTAATTTAATAAACAAACAATTTTTATTTAATACACAAAAAAACACACTTCATTATTAAAACATGATTTAATACATAACAAAAAACACACTTCATTATTAAAACTCACTTCATAAAATAACCACACATTACAGCAACGGGTCTTCCTCCCAATACTGGTCTTCCAATTCGTCTTCTGGTGGCATATATAAATCAAGATTTTCCATCTCCAAAGATGACCGGTCAAATGGCGGCGAAGATCGGTATGGATTACTGCACTCCGAATTATCCTCAATCTTTGCATCTATTCTTGACCACCATATTCTAGTGGCTGTGTCTCCGGGATGACTTCAATCTCTTCGTACTCACATATTGTGTTTCCTTCATGTTCTAATATCATATTATGCAAAAGTCCTTTCGAGACCACCCGTTTTCTTGAGAAACTTGGTTATGAAGTCCATTGTGATTTGCTCCCACTTCCACTCAGGTATCTCCGGTTGTTATAGTAAACCTGAGGGGCTTTTGGTATCTCCGATTGCCCATTGGGAGTTTAATTTAAATTATTACTTAAAAGATATTTCTTTTAGTTATATAAAATTATAATCATTGATTTAAATACATGCGTGAAGTTATATCACATTATAATCTATATTAATTTAATTTTACTTTTTAATCTAACGTAATTAATTTAATATAAGGTAATCTCCAATGGGAGTTTAATTTGGGGTTTAATCGGGAGTTTAATCTGATTAAACTCAAAATCCCTATTGTAACAAAATGACTAATATTCAATGGAATGGGGAGTTCAATCCCGATTGAACTCTATATTATCTCTCCTTACACACACATGTATACATATATATATATATATATATATATAAATTATTTTTTATTTTAAATTTTTAATTGATATTAATTTTAATTGTAGTTTTTAATTATTAATTTCATGCTACTTATTTTTTTTAAATAACAATAAATAAAAAACAAAGAGATAAATGATGTGACAATCCATTCAATTGTATAGAGTTTAATGGAGTGTAGAGTTTTATGGGTAAAGTTGTATAGTAAGTAAAAATGTAGATGTGTCAATCCATTGAACTCATAAATTTGGCTCTCTAAGGGTCATCCGGATATTGGCAAACTTTTAACGAAAACAGAAAGGTCAGGATAGATCCCATCCACAAGATAATACCCAAATTTGTATTTTGTTCCACGCAATACAAATGACGAATCTGGGGGAATACCGCCATACACCTTGTTAAATATTGGTGAATTATTGAGAATAGTAACGTCATAAAGCGAATCGGTACTACAGAAAAAGGCATGCCAAATCCACAAATCTTGTGACGCTACAGCTTCAAGTACGACCGTGGGATAATGATAATTGCCCTTTGTGTATTGTCCTTGATATGAGTTAGGACACGCATTCCATCTCCAGTGCATGCAATCTAAACTTCTTAACATCCCAGGCAAACCATGGACATTTCCATGATAAGCATACAATTGTTGTACGTCACAAGCAGTAGGCTGACGCAAATATCGTGGACCATACAAAGACATGACAACTATGCAAAATTCATGAAGACTATCTCGGGCAGTACGTGCAGACATTCTAAAACTCTCATCTAGTACATCAGGGGGGTGCCATATACTAACATACGAAATACAAAAGTACATTTTTGAATTGGATCAAAGCCTAATGTACCTCTTGCATCTGTGCGTTGTTGCATATACTCAAACACTGAAGTCACACCTTCTACAATATGCATAAAAATGCTTTATGCATCCGGAACCGTCTGCGGAAATAATATCCTTTAAAGAGAGCATTCTCGTCAAAATAATCTTGCATGAGACGTTGGTGGGCCGCTTCACGCTGTCTTTGAATATATATTCTTCGTTTATGTTGATCGTTGCATGATCCAATGTTGTTAAGACGTTGTTGTAGCATATTGCGTATGGAAACGACCAACTGCAGTACATTATCAAGAACACCGTCCGCTAGAGATGACGAAGAGGACATTGAAGTGATTCTTTGATTTAAAGACGTGGTGCTTTGCTACTGCCTGGAGTTAATATCTTATATATATATATATATATATATATATATATATATATATATATATATATATATATATATATATATATATATATATATATATATATATCAAATGATTCTTTGATTTGTCGACAAAGTGGTATAGATTTATGCATAAATTCCATACATATAAAGACAAAGTGGCATAGATTCCTTGCATAAATTACATATATATGAAGACAAAATGGCATGCATAAATTTGTCTACATATATATACGATTCCCTGCATAATTCATTTACCTTTTTGTATACACGATTCCATATATATATTTTTATGTATACGAAGAAAAAACTTTATATATATAATTCATTTACCTTTACCTTTATATATATATATATATATATATATATATATATATATATATATATATATATATATATATATATTAAATAAAAAATGTTTCAAACTCTTAAAATTTAAATAAAAAAGATTACATTAATAGTCGACGAAACATACGACTTAAAAAACTACCACTTAATAATAGTAGACGGAACATACGACTTAGAAAAACTATGAATTAATAATAGTAGACGAAACACACGACTAAAAAAACTACAACTAATCCCAATTGTATTCTTTAGCGAGATCCTGCTTGGCTTTGTTAATAACCCGACGTTCCTCCTTGGACAATTGATCTTCTATGGGTTTAAAGTAAAGTTCTAACGCATGATTCTTTGCCTTTATAGCACAGTTTATTTCTCTTAACTTTCCCACTTCCAAAAAACCCTCAAGCTTATCGTCTAACCCTTTCATTGTGTTTATTATCTCCTCCGCTTCAGTCGACGAATTTTGTACTCCTTTCAACTTTCTTTTTGCTTTATCCCGACCCATAGGACGAGTTGGAACTTCATAAGCACAATCGTTGTTGACGTCAATCCCCGCGATATGTGCATCAGAAGATTGACTGTGGGTGGACTCTGAAGTTTTTCTTCGTTTGGACATCCCCGCATAATCGTCTGGTCTTTTTAGATTTAGCCATTTTTTATTTCCCTTCGCAACTTCCCAAAACGATTCATTGACAAAAGGTTTTCCGTCTTTGGCCTTGTAAATCTTTCGCACATTAGCCATGACATCCACCTCAGTTGCACCGCTTTGGGGGTTTTTTATCGCGTTCATGTATATGTTGTTGAACTCCATTGCGGCTCGATTTGTGTTCCTCCACTTCGAGAAAAGTGCATCAGGGTTGCAGTCCTTCTTATTCATGCAGTTGCAAAAGTTATTCCAAACTTTTTTTTGAAGGTTGTTGAGTCTTGGTCATTCCCGTGGATCGGGTCCTCCGACACATCTACCCATGATTGAGCTAGTGCCCTTTCTTCATCATCCGTCCACTCTCTACTTTTAGCCCTCCCTTTTCCTTTTTTTGTACGTGTTGTTCCACTTCGGGATCTTGAAAAAAATGCTTGAACTGGATCTGCAATAAGGGCTTCATCAGAAGAATCGGATGACTCGTCGAGTAGGCAGCGTGGTTGAGTTTGAAAGTCAGTTTGTTGTTGGGGTTGAGAAAACAATTGAGTTTCTTGAACCATTTCAAACGGATCAAGATCCATATCCGGACGAGGTGTTGGTTCAGATTTGTTGTGGTAAAATCCCATTGGTTGAGAAGAGAAATGATTAAATGGAAACATTTGCGAAGCCATTGTAGGAAAGTAGAAGTTAGAAGGAGACTGAATTGGTTGATCAAATGATGGTCGATAACATGGTGGTGATGGAAGGTTTGGGGATGGAAGGTTTGTTGATTGAGAGTTTGGAGTTAGAAGGTGTAGTGATGGAAGGTTTGAAGATTTTTTTGTCAGTTCCTAGGTTTTTCTTTGTTTGAGATGAAGACATGATTCTTTGGTGAATTGAGAGAGAATGTTGTGAGAGATATGATTTTTTGTGTGTAAATTGGTGAGAGTGTGTTTTATTTATATTAGTTGAGTGTATATATATATATTAAAAATGTTTTGTTTTTTATTCTCATGCAAACTGAAAAGTAAAGTTGTAACTTGAATGCAACCAAGCGGAACCAAGCAAGCTTTTTCTTTCACCTTGCTAAGACTATGACGACTCAACAATGGTAAGCCCCCTAGCAAGAGCTAGGGGCGGTGTTTCAATGTAGTTGGCGAGCTTGGCACTTTGCTTGGCACTTTCGACTCCGCATAGCCTAATACTTGGTCATTTTATGTTCACTAATAGTCTAAGCAAAGTAAACCAATTCATCTAAAGTCATTTTTATTGATAGTTAGTTAAATCAAACTTCATATTATATGTTCCTTCATTATCTTTCCATTTGTAGGAAAATTTATTTTTACATATGGCTAAATGAATAAAAATGTATTTTTCTTTTTGACAATCACCAACTTCTTGACTTAAAGACCAACAATGAAACGATTATAACAAAAGTAAGTGTATAAAAAAGTACCAAGCCAAATTAGGCAAATTAGAATCTCCTAAAGTCCATGGCAAAATAAAAATTAAGAAAAAGTTATCTAAATGGTCAAATTGAACAAAAAGGTGAAAACTACTAATTTTAGTAAACTATAATTTTTGTTTTGGTTCCTTTTCTTAAACAACCAAAAAACAAACTAATCTCCCTATTCTAATAAATGAATATGTTTATTTTTCTATTGACAAATATCATACTATTAGAATTCCTCATTAATATTATATGTCACTTATCAACCTGTTAATTATCAATTTCAAATTTCAAATTAAAAAATTTAAATTTTCCACTCTAATTACTTTTAATTAATAATTGATTCTCCATTTTAAATTTTAAATTTTAAATTTTTTCACTCTAATTAGACCATCTCCAATGCATTGAGCTCATATGAGTTCAATGGATTGACACATGTACATTCCACTTACTATACAACTTTACCCATTAAACTCTACACTATATTAAACTCTATACAATTTAATGGATTGTCACATCATTTATCATTTTCCTTTTTATTTATTGTTATTTTAAAAAAAATTAGCATGAAATTAAAAATTAAAAACTACTATTAAAATTAACATCAAATAAAAATTTAAAATAAAAATATGTATATATATATATACACATACACACACGTGTGTGTAAGGAAAGATAATATAGAGTTCAATCGGGATTGAACTCTCCATTCCATTGAATTATAATCATTTTCCCACAACAGGGATTTTGAGTTTAATGAGATTAAACTTCCCATTAAACCCCAAATTAAACTCCCATTGGAGATGACCTTATATTAAATTAATTACATCAGACTAAAAAATAAAATAAAATTAATATAGATTATAATGTGATATAACTTCACGTATGTATTTAAATCAACGATTATAATTGTATATAACTAAAATAAATATCTTTTAAGTAATAATTTATATTAAACTCCCATTGGGCAAGTGTCTTACTTGTGCCAAGGTTAAGGTAGAATATCAAAAGCCCCCAAGTTTACTATATCAACCGGAGATACCTGAGTGGAAGTGGGAGCGAATCACAATGGACTTTATAACAAAGTTTCTCAAAACGGTAGTAGTCCTCATAGGAGTTTTGGAGTTCAGTTGTCATGGTGGCCAACATGATACAAGACACTTGGTTGACATCCTTCTCATGTGCCCTAAACTCAGCAATCTCCTCAGGAGTAGCAGAAGACTCATCGATTTCCTTCAGCTCCTTGTCTAGGATATATTCCTTTTCCTCATAGCGGGTGACCATCCTGATGTTCCTAATCCAGTCATTGAAGTTGGACCCATCAATGATGACTCTCCCACACAAGTTCATGATAAAGAAGGACCCAGTAGGGTTTGAGTCAAAAGCAGTGTTGGAAGACATCTGAGAAAGAAAGACAAAGTTTAGATTAGATAAAGAGTCCTTAATATAGCACCCAAAATGAAATATTAAGGCTAGGACCCAAGACAATATTTTACAAATTGGAAGATGGATGTCGTAATCCAACTTGCGAATTATTTGAAGGTAGGACAATGATCATTTACCATTTTCCCCCATGAAAAAAGAAATTGATTATTAAGTTTTAATTGGATTGAAACTCCTAGATCCTTTGAGATTAATTCAACAATTCAATGGCATATTTAAATCTTGATTATGCCCTTCAGGATTGTGACTGGGATACCAAGGATCACAAACAAGGTGTGAATAACCATGCAAAATGTGCTTAGTACTCCCGATTTCATTTATCACCCAATCAATGTGTCGGTTAACCACACACGCTCCATTGATCTTATGATAAACATCGAACCACCCTTTGTCACCCTTACTAGTCCAAGGTAATGTGTCGGTTAACCACACATGCTCCATAAACGACTTGGCAAGCTGCAAAGTGCAATTTTCATGAATTAGCATTAATTTCACATTTTCCTAAAGTAACTAAGATTGGGAATTTTATAAAAAGGTTTAGTTACTCTATAATTATCATTATACTTAATGAGAATTAATGTCCTATCCTACCCGTTCGGCTAACGACCCTTCACCAGTCAAGGAAGCGGTGGGTGAGAGTGGCAACCCATTAAACAACTATTTTATAGTCAGTAACCTTATACCCACTTATAGACCGGCTTCGTGAATGAGGTCTAATAACGGTAAGACTGAATTGATCTTATATATATATATATATATATATATATATATATATATATATATATATATATATATATATATATATATATTATTAAACTTATAATACTATAAAGTATAAGGTTTGGATTTTAAACTTTTAATATTCTAGGGTTTGGAATTAAAGTCTTCAAAACTATGACTTTACAAATTCCAAAACTTTAGGACAAGTTTTGACACTATTCAAAGCTTTTCATTTTCTTAACTTATGAGTTTAATGATTTTTATGAAAAAAAAACTTTTGGTTTTTCATAACTTGAGGACAAGTTATGGAATCCATTAAAAGACATTTAGATCAACAATTAACTAACAAGAAATGTCAAATAATATCTATAATCTAGACAAACTCATAAGTAAAGATAATTCACATCAACATTTTTCAAGAAATTAGCTAATCATATAAATTAGCTATTCATAATGTTATATTACTATTTCCAAGTGTCGTATGTAACCAATTTGTTTATTATTAAATTCACATGACATGCTCTTACAAATATTATATCAAGAAGGCGTTTGCTACTAAGATCAAAATATAATTATTTTTATTAATCTGTTACCAAGGATTTTTTTTTAAATTTTCTTTCTTATTTAAATTTCAATCCTGTACCATTTGCCATAGAAGTTATTACAACGAGTATATGACTGACTCGGAGACGAAAGTTCGGACTCTAAGTGATAATGCTTCAGGTACACGTTATAACTTTGCGTAAATATTTATGTTAACTATAAGACTAAGAGGAGTGGTGAAACTCTTGGCACCTTGACACATAAGTATTTTTAATGTCACATCATTTTTCTTTGTTTAACACTTACACTTAACATTTTGTAAGGAGTGGTAACACTCTTAGCACTCAATTTTTTGTATTTTCTTTTTTCTAATTTAATTTAATTACTATATTTTAATAAATATATTTTTTTCTATTTATTTTATGTAATTTAATTTAATTACTTTAATTTAATAAACAAATAATTCTTATTTAATACACAAAAAAAAACACACATCACACTTCATTATTAAAACTCACTTCATAAAAAAAACCACACACTACAGCAACTTGTCTTCCTCCGAATACTTGTCTTCCAACTCGTCTTCTAGTGGCATATTTAGATCAAGATTGTCCATCGTCCAAATATGATCGGTTAAATGGCGGCGAAGATCGGTATGGATAATTGCACTCCGAATTATCCTCAATATTTGCATCCATTCTTGACCACCATATTCTAGTGGCTGTGTCTCCGGGATGACTTCATTCTCGTCATACTCACATATCGCGTTTCCTTCGTGTTCTAATATCATATTATGCAATATGATACATGTATACATCACCTCTGTCATATTAGAAATATCACGAAACATGGATGGTTTTGCAACTATCTTTCAACGCTTTTTAAGTGCTCCAAACACTTGTTCAATATCTTTTATTGCTTTTTCTTGAACTCTCTTAAATTTGGCTCTCTGAGGGTCATCCGGACAAGACAAACTTTTAACGAAAACAGAAAGGTCAGGATAGGTCCCATCCACAAGATAGTACCCAAATTTGTATTATGTTCCTCGCAATACAAATGACGAATCTGGGGCAGTACCGTCATACACCTTGTTGAATATTGGTGAATTATTGAGAATATCAACATCATTAAGCCAACCGGCACTACCGAAAAAGGCATGCCAGATCCGCAAATCTCGTGACGCTACAGCTTCAACTACGATCGTGTGATAATGATAATTGCCCTTTGTGTATTGTCCTTGATATGCCTTAGGACACGCATTCCATCTCCAGTTCATGCAATCTAAACTTCCTAACATACCAGGCAAACCATGGACATTTACATGATGAGCATACAATTATTGTATGCCACAAGCAGTAGGCTGATGCAAATATCGTGGACCATACGAAGACATGACAACTATGCAAAATTCATGAGGACTATCTTGGGCAGTACGTGCAGACATTCTAAAACTCTCGTCTAGCGCATCAGGGGGGTGCCATATGCTAACAT